AATAGCTGCAAGATTTATTTGCAATCAATGATGCAATACATTTGAGTTATTTTTCAGATTGAAAATAAATGAAAATGGTTAAGAAATTTAAAATTAATTTAAAAAATGAGCATTGGTCGTAGTGGTACTATATTTATGTTTTTAATAAATCTTTTACTCCTCAGTTTTCAATTAACCTTAAAAACATCATTTAAGGCACTGATAAAAATAAATACGTAGCTGTTAACTTTCGTGCTCATTGTGGGACATTATTTTTAGTAGTGACAGAAAAATTAAATTAACGATTGTTTTTTTGTTTTTTTTTCAATCTCTCTAGCAACTAAAAATTTTATCGGAAAATCATCAGGCTTTTTATGCATACTAAACTTAGTTCCATGCAGTCGTAGTTCAAATTCTAAATTATACTTACTAAACATAAATTCATTTTAACATTTTCACACAAAATTAAATAAAAAATAAAATTTTCGAGAAATGCGGAATTGATAACAACTATAAGTCATCCCTATAAACTCTTCCGAATTCTGAGAGTAATTTTCCTTTGTATTTAAAATGGTTACAGAACTTATGCATTAATATTTAATTCTTGAGTTTATAAATTTCATTTAAAATGTTATGCGCAACCAATTCATGCTAAGAATTCACATAAATATAGTACATAAGTTAGATACAGTACATGTTAAATTTTATTTAAACCGATATATTTTTTGTTTTCAGTTGTCAACTTAATTGTTATTTCCCATTAAAAAAGAAGACTCTCGTTGGATAATGTATACGTTGGAAGTTATGTTATATTTTATTTAATTTGTAAACAGAGCCTGTTAATCAAATTGTCTTGTTAATGGTGTTTACCGGTCAGGAAAATTTTCTAGACTTTTATTCTAAACTCGATTATTTTTAAGAACTTTTAAAAAGAATCTGTTATCCATGATTAAGAATTAATTTTTAAGAGAAGTGATAATTAACAGGTCCACTAAAAGGGATTTTTGTTTTGATCGGTAGACACTTGAATCTCGATTCCGTCAAATATGAGAAAATGATGTCATAATTCAATTATAAAATTTTTTTGTTTACAAAAGAACAATTGTTATGGCAATCATCGATTTGTGCGTTGTGTCCTTTTTTAAAGGGTGTTCCCTTAAAAAAAAAAAAATCACATAACTGGTGGTAGAAGTATTTCGCTATTAATATTAATTTAGAAGAAAAAACTAGTTAATTTTGCTTACTTTGATACATTTTATTTTAATTAATAACCGTCGTTGAACAGCCAACCCAAATTTTGGGTTTTCTACTTCTAATGTTCAACTGCGTAGCCTTGTAATTTTGAATCCAATCCAGAAGACAAAGAAACTCCTGGATCAAGTATCGGGAGATATCTTGCCTTCGTGGAGGACTTGTTGATGGAAATAACCCGAATTTGCGTTACATGAAGAGGAGGACCACGAGAACCTCCACAGTTAGACTGACGGCAAGGGGACTCTAACCCAGGATCCGTCTACAACTGAGGATATTTCACGTCAGCACTGAGGTCGGAGCAGGCCGAATGTGGATTCGAATCGGCTATCCATCACTGGGATTCGAACCCGGTTCACCTCATTGGAGGGCGAACACTCTATCCCCTGAACCATCGTGGTTCTACTTTGATACATTAAAAATTTTAACATTAGTACTTCGATTTTGAATTATTACTACGATTTTGAATTATTACTATGATTTTAAAAATATCCTTTGTTTAAATTTTGACCATTGGGAAATTCTGTTTAATTTTTGTCTTTTCAATAATTATCTTTACAATTGAGGGGATATTTTTCTTCAAATTGATGGAATACCACAAGGATCTAATTATTCATCTCTCTTAGCTTACTTATTTTTGCATTATTATGAAAAAAATATACTCTTAGAATTAATTTTGTTTTTAGATATATTGATGACTTAATTATCTTTAATTCTCAGGATTATACTATTTTATTTAAAGATAGTTACCCCGAGGAATTAATCTTGCTTCGTAATCATGATGATAATATTAATTTAAATTTTTTGGATTTGGGTATTATAAAAGAAGAAAATATCTGCTTTGTTGATTTATACGATAAAAGAAATAATTCAAATTTTAATATCAATTAACTTATCACTTAGAATTCTAATGTATCTTGGAGCATCTATTTAAATACCACTTTTATTGAAATGAAAAGAATTAAAAGAATATGTAGTAATATTTATTTATCCAAAAAACAAATTGATAAACTCTTTCAAAATTTGATAAATAACAGTGGATACCCAACTAAAGTAATAAAATTCTATATAAAATCATTGAGTTAATCGTATATTATTGTAGATAAGTTTACAAAAAATTTTCTTTGTTAATTTATATAGTTTTCCCATGTACAAATCCATTTCGGTTAAATCCGTGGCCAAAATTATTTACTAAAAATTTCTTTGTTAATTTGTATAATTTTTCCATGTGCAAATCCAATTCCGGCAAATCCGTGGCTAAAATTATGTGCAAAACAGGCAATTCATGCTTCTTTCTCTTTTCCATTTTATATATTTTTTTCTTAAATAAATGTTTATTTTCTAAAATTATTTATAGTCAACTTCTTTAAATTATCCAGTATTACCTTGCGCAGATCCATTTTCGGGCAAATCCTTGGTAACTAATAAATCAAACGCACTTCAGTTATGCAGTAAGAACGCACTTTAAAACAAAACTCTTCTAGTTATTCCTGTATCTCAATTTGCGCTTTTGTTTTCATATTTTGCAATCTGGCAATCATGTTACGAAAATATTTAAAATCATTCTTGAAAAATTTCCCGTTCACGTAAGTTCATTTGATTTCGCTACTCGCTTTATAGATTATGTTTTATGTGTTATTCTGTTTTTTCTTTACATTTTATTTTCTGTTTTTACGTGTTATTTTTACTTATTATGTTCTATTTTATTTGCTGTAATTTTCATAAAAATTTTTTGAGTGCTCCTCACACTATTGTATTGATATATTTTGCTTTGGCTATAATGATACAATATTGAAAAGCACTCTTTTTTGCGGATATAATAGTGTGGGCTGATGAAGAGATTATATCTTTTATTTTCCGGATTTTTTAAAAGAATTCTATCCTTTTTTCAGATTTTTTTCCTCCCAGTTTCTGTTATTTTTATTATTTATTTCCTTTTTCCCCATTTTTAATATATATATATTATANATATCAATATATATATATATATAAACTCAAAATTAATCCTAATAATTTAATGCATCTTAATTATTTAAATCTATATAAATTTAACTTAAAATGACTTTAACACATGAATGACACACACAACGCATAAATAATAAACATATATTTAAATGCACAATAATTTCAGAATGGTGGATTTAAGTTCTGGCAGAATATTAAAACATTTTTGATTAATATTGGTTTTTCAATTCTCATTTCCTTACCACTTGAGAAAAGGATTCTTGGAAAAACAAAAGTTAACAGCTTTATATTTTCACGATGCATCAATACTGAATATAAATTTAAGTACAAACAGAAAGATTTCGGTGTTTTACAAATCACCCCGTCTACGATTTTCCAACCCAGTGGCGTTAGTGACCCGCTCTCCTGTTTGACATTTTCTTAAATTAAAAAAAAATTGATTCTTGACTTTGTTTTAGTTTAGAAGGTAACAAATTTTAAAAGAAATAAAAGCTTTCATTATAATTGCGACCAACTACAACCAAGGGAAAAATCTCCCACAAAAAGAATGAGCCGTTAAAGGCTGCTGGTTTGTAAATTAGCACCCCGTACACTCCTGCGCGTAATTTTTGAAGCAACTGCGCATGCTCGTGTTTGTTACGAACTTATGCATCTTTAGGTTTAGAAGGCGTGGTTATAGCGTTATGAGCCGGTTAGTTTTGTAATGCTAATAACTCAATTGTTAGCTAAACATTCTATTGTTAATAATTATTTTTAAAAAAACTGCTAAAAAATGCGAATGAACTTACTTGTTCGGGATAGCCTGGCTGGTAGGGCACTGGGCCCGTGTCCAGGAGGTCGTGGGTTCGATCCCCTCCTGTCGAAGACTCCCCGTGCAGTAACTGGTGACTGATGCACGTTAAACCTGTCGAGTCACAAAGTTCTTCATGTTCCCATAACAAATCAAACCTCTGGGGGTACTGATCCAGGAGTTTCCTTGTCTTCTGGATTGGTTCAAAATTACAAGGCTACGGAGTTGAACATTGGTAGTCGTAAACCCAAAAAATTGAGTTGGCTGTTTCTGACGGTTATAAAATTAAAAAAAAGTAAGAATGAACTTATTGAATGGCAAGACAATTTCTAAGAAAAGGAGAAAATTTTGGGACATTCTTTTGGACTTAATAGTATACATACATGTTTTTAAATTATGCTTATTTAAATTATTTATTCAAGAACAGCCAACTACATAAAATATGTGTTATATGCTTATTTAAACAGGGTTCCCGGGGGTCTTGTAAATTTAAAAAAGTGGCAACGAAAATTAAACAAAATTCGATAATTTTATTTCCGTTTTACTACCACTAAAAATTATTTTTGAAAAATGTATATATGCAAGAAAATTCCAGCTTCTATTCCAATTCGCGATAAAATAGTATATAAGAATAAGAAAAATCTTCTAGCATTAACCTAAATTTACTACCACCATTAAAATTTTTCAAGGACTACTGGAACCCTGTTTTTAAACCTCGATGAACAAATTTAGCTTATTAAATTATAACTACTTGCAGACATTAATGTCTCAATTTTGGGGAGTTATTTTGAAACTTAAGTTCGGGAGTGTACGGAAGTGGTATTTAAATTTGCAAAATCTCCCTATTGTCATTTTAGCTTTCACTATGGACATTTTTTAAAAAAATTACAAATAAATAGGTTAATATGTTTTTCTCTTAAAAACTGATGATTAAAGAAAAAATTCTCAATTTTATTATACTTAAGTTATGTAATTCATCATCCCCACATCTGTTGACACCTTCCTTTCATTACAGATTGCAATAAAACCTACACCGGCAAAGCTGGAGTTAAGTACCCAATCAGAGTGACTGGTCCTTTCCAAAGATTTCTACCTTTCGTCTGTAGTGTCAATTTCGTCGCCATGGGAGGAGATTTTGGCGATTCCGTAGAACTTTCTTTCTTGTCATTCCAAATAGGACAATTCGAATTTTCGAAGTAAGTAGAAATACATTTGTTATTGTAAAGACTTTTCTTATTTCCAGGAACACATTTACTGTCAAAAATATGAGAATGTACCTTCTTCCTAGTGATGTGAAACGTATCTATTAGAACACTTTTTCAATGCACGACATGATTTTTATTTCCAGGAGCACATTTACTGTCAAAAATATCAGAATGTACCTTTCTTCCTAGTGATGTGAAACGTATTTATTAGAACGCTTTTTCATTGCACGACACGATGCCGCCAAAACGAATCCGATTGTCGGCGAACGACATAGGGTCAAGTAAAATACATGATCAGAAACTGAGCACATATTCACTCACCGATACGATAGCGATTATGTCGTATCCGACAAGGCGATATCGTTTATCGGAATCAAATGCACTCACGTTACGCCTCAAATCGTTTTTATTTGTTGTTGTGTATCTTTCCTGTTCTATCTCCTCTTTTGATATCATTATTTTATTCTTTTAATCAATTTTAGCCGTTTATTTGATCACGTCAAAAGTAAAATTTGATATCATTTTGCTCTGTGAGCTCGTAGAAGTTAAAGAACGTTTAATGCTTGCCTAAAGAAGCTAATGACATTCATTTGGGTCTTTTTGTAGCTTATGGAAAAGCACATAAAAATCTCCTTCAACATATATTGCTTTATTTATTTCGTGCACCCAAAAACGTTTCTGCACTGCTCGCTTCTTTCTTCTTAAATAAAGTGAGTATAGAAGCTCGAGGAGACGATTATCATCGGGCATATTTAAGGTTTGCAGAAAAAAATTCGCAGCAAACAAACAACTGCGCACTCAAGGTCAAAGCATTAAAACAAGAATTTATACTCCTCGGACGAACGATATCGGACAAGTGAAAAAACAATTGCTTGAACGATCCGGCAACGAACATTGTCGTTCGCACATTTGTTGCCCGATTTTATCGGTATCGTGTCGTGTACTGAAAAAGCCCCCTTATTGGGACCAGAAAGTAATGTAGTTTTGGTACATTTGATATTTGTTATCTAGATTTTATTTTAAATCAATAATGTGTTTCCCCTCATTAGCAACAACCTTTCAATGCCGGATTGAATATAAATCGAAATGGATCAACTAACGAATATTTAATGCGCCGGAACGACATTACTTTCCGTTCCCCCTAATATATAAAAGAAGAGTGAAAATTTTTGATATATTTTCAAGTGGATATATTTTCGTCGTAGCTATTGCTTCAGTGTTTAAATACCATATTTTATTGATTTAAATTCTAAATAAAAATATTTATAGTATAATTTCTTTAATTATGACACGCTTTTCTTGTTTCTGCAAGTAATAAATAAATAAAGAGTTTAAAAAAAGATTTAATATCAATCTTTATCATGTCGAATAAGGATACATCATATGATTCCTTTTCTTATAATTTGGCGAAAGATTTTTCATAATTTTAATATAAAAGAACAGTAAGTTAATTGAAATATCCATACCTTAACAATCAAATATTTCATTGAAAAATGAATGTAACGGGGTGTCTTAAATTTATTGCTTTTCTCCTCTATAATTAAATAATTTCTTAAGCCAGTTATTCGAAATCAATTATTAAAACAGTAATTTTATTATCATTTTATATATTTCTGAAGTTCAGGGGTTTTCACGGTTTGTCTTGTCTAAGAAGTTACTTTATATGATCCATTCTTTTACAATTTAGAGAAGATTTTCGTTTAGTGTTTAGCACAAAAAAATGAATAGTTCAGGGGTTTCAAGTTCGAACTAAGACAAGATCTCCAAAATTTTTTTAAAATCCCCGTAGAAAACATTTTACCTTCGCCAACGATAAACGGAGAAGATTGCTTGAATTCGAAATCCATTCAATTCTGAAGCTCCTTGAAAATAAACTTCTGAAGAAGAAAAATAAAAGTTTGCGTGGATTCTTCTAAATCCATTCCATTCTAAAGCTTCTTATTAATTCATTTTAGAAAGAAAAAAATTTAGTTTTGGCTGAACAATAACAATTTGGAAAACCAAATTTGTTTCTGTTGATTTGATAGAGTTTTGAATATGTATAAGAAATTCCTCTCCTAAATGAAAAAGCTATGTGAGTTCTATTGCAGCAGCTGCTATTATAAAGAGCAAATATCACTCCAAACTAAATTCGATAAGATTTATCGAGTTTTTTCAGAGGTTTAACGAAACATCAAGCCCTCCTCCTCATATCGCACTAAATACACTATGTCCACATTGAATCTTCAAGCGAGGAGGATAATATTTCTTTATTTATATCAAATCTAATATATCGCATCCCTGGAGGAAAAGTGTCATAACTCTAAAATGCAGCATTTGAGAAAAATCAACGAATACGATAACCCTTATTCTGAATTAGACTCAAAACTGACACAACTGCTCTCAGCTGGTTAAATTGCGAGTTAGAGATGTGACACTTTTTGAGCTTTATGGGGCACTTATATAACACATTTACTGTCAAAAATATCAGAATGTACCTTTCTTCCTAGTGATGTGAAACGTATTTATTAGAACGCTTTTTCAATGCACGACATGGTTTTTATTTCCAGGAACACATTTACTGTCAAAAATATCAGAATGTACCTTTCTTCCTAGTGATGTGAAACGTATTTATTAGAACGCTTTTTCAATGCACGACATGGTTTTTATTTCCAGGAACACATTTACTGTCAAAAATATCAGAATGTACCTTTCTTCCTAGTGATGTGAAACGTATTTATTAGAACGCTTTTTCAATGCACGACATGGTTTTTATTTCCAGGAACACATTTACTGTCAAAAATATCAGAATGTACCTTTCTTCCTAGTGATGTGAAACGTATTTATTAGAACGCTTTTTCAATGCACGACATGGTTTTTATTTCCAGGAACACATTTACTGTCAAAAATATCAGAATGTACCTTTCTTCCTAGTGATGTGAAACGTATTTATTAGAACGCTTTTTCAATGCACGACATGGTTTTTATTTCCAGGAACACATTTACTGTCAAAAATATCAGAATGTACCTTTCTTCCTAGTGATGTGAAACGTATTTATTAGAACGCTTTTTCAATGCACGACATGGTTTTTATTTCCAGGAACACATTTACTGTCAAAAATATCAGAATGTACCTTTCTTCCTAGTGATGTGAAACGTATTTATTAGAACGCTTTTTCAATGCACGACATGGTTTTTATTTCCAGGAACACATTTACTGTCAAAAATATCAGAATGTACCTTTCTTCCTAGTGATGTGAAACGTATTTATTAGAACGCTTTTTCAATGCACGACATGGTTTTTATTTCCAGGAACACATTTACTGTCAAAAATATCAGAATGTACCTTTCTTCCTAGTGATGTGAAACGTATTTATTAGAACGCTTTTTCAATGCACGACATGGTTTTTATTTCCAGGAACACATTTACTGTCAAAAATATCAGAATGTACCTTTCTTCCTAGTGATGTGAAACGTATTTATTAGAACGCTTTTTCAATGCACGACATGGTTTTTATTTCCAGGAACACATTTACTGTCAAAAATATCAGAATGTACCTTTCTTCCNCAGACAAGTAGAGCACCAAAGGTTTAAATATATATATATATATATATATGTGTGTATACAGGGAAAAGAACAAATCAAATATCATATGACTGGAGTACCATGAAACAATTTTAAAATAGCTGGGATCATTAAAATGAATGTTCATGGTTAGATAAATACATAGTTTCCAGCACGAAAATACTATCTCCCACATATTTTCCAGTTGGTAAAAAATCTTTCCTTAAAACGAAAGAAGTTGGCATGCATGCAAATATCGATCAACATCTTGGAGGTTAGGAGCTGCTGTCACAGAATTTTATTTTTGTTTCAGATCAAAAATAATTCTTTAACTAGTTTTATTGCCTAGATTAGGCTGATAATATGCATTAACAATACGTTAAATAATTACCAAAAGGAAATACATTAACGGATGCTACTATAGCATTTTTTTATAATATACGAAAAATTAAAAAAATTGGAACATTTAGTCACATTTCTAGTCTTGAAATAAATCAAACCTGGAACACCCTTGAACTTTGAGAGAAAAGGGAGCATACTGCACAACTTATATGTTTTAAAAAATATTATCATTAAAATATAGGCAATAAAATTAATTAAATTTCATTGTGAGACCATAGAATTTGGGTTAAAAAAACTGTTTTACAGCAGATACACTGTAAAATAATGAATGATATTTATCAAATTTTGCATGTTATTGTCCCCAAATTCAACTCTTGTAAGCTATTAAAGTACTTTCACTGCCTAAAGTAAGGTCTGCCATGAAAGCTTACATAACAAGTTTTCATGTTATTTTCTGTAAATATGAATAATTCTATTTTCATAATTAAATAATTAATATTAATGAATCATTGGTAATTTGAATAGATTACATATTAGTCTAAGAAAAAAAACGCAGTTTTGCAAGTTTTAAAATCAAGTTTGGCATTTTGTTGATATTAATGAGGATATGGAGGTAAAATTTATTTAAATTGCCAAATGTTACTAATAAAAACAAATAAATCAATTTTTTTGCTACTTTACACTTTATAACATCCTCTTTTCTCTTATAAAAACTTAATTTATCCTGTGTTTAGAGTAAAATAGGTATAAAAATAATTTTGTTTAAATAAGTAATTTGGAAAAAAAATACTGAAAAATATATGTGTCACCTTTCCTTACTGTAATTGGGAACTACTTCTACTACTACTGAGGCTCTATGTGCCACTATGTGCACACCATTTAAGGATGTTTTTCTTTCCTACGCAAAATCAGTAATCTTAGAAATTCGTAAGCATTCTTATTAACTAGTAATGCTTTAAATTTTAAAAAAATTCTTTTTCCATAAAATACTTGTTTACATAATATATTCTCAGTAAACATTTATCTTTTTCAGAACGCTTGACACAGCATGCGAAAATGGTTACATGAAAATACTGGAACCAGTTTCAAGTATTCCAGAAGAACCCACAGAAACACCAGATTTTGGCATATTCTGCGGCAAATTAAGCGAAAGAAGAGCTACATATTATTCAAAATCAAGCAACATCTCCATTATTATTGTGGTTCCGAGTAGAATGTCGCTATCGACTTCAACATTCAGTCTGTTTCTAACCTTCAGATTTTTAACACGGACTCGATCTCAGACCGGTGTTAGGTCTGCTTTCTCGAGCTACCAATTCGGAAATGCTCTGCCGGGGACATTCTGCGATCGAATGTTTCTGAACTGCCATTTGCGACCTTGCAAAATACGCAGCCCCAATTTCCCAGGATTCTATCCCCGAAACATCACTTGCAACTACCATATCAGACAAATGCAAGTGCCTCACGCCAGTGTGGCTTCAATTGTTCTTCGCCAAGCCAATGAATACAAAATTTTTATACCTAGAACCGGAGATTCCGTTTCAGCAAATTCTGTGACAAGTGTTCGAAGCTCTTTGCTTTCTACGGATTGTTCTGATAATAGTGACTCAGTAAAAGTGTACGACGGACCAACTACAAATATGCCTCTCTTGGTAAAATTTTGTGGCGATGGAGCAATGCCTACTGTGATATCTAGTGGATCAGAAATTTTAGTTCAGTTACACAGTTCCCCATTCAGTGTTTTATGCAGTTCCAAATTAGAGATAGAAGTTTCAGTGAAATTTGAAACTGAAAAGTCAGCTTTCATGCAAAGGGATCGAAACAGGTGTGCTTATATAATAGACGCTAACAGACATAAACGACATGGCGTTATTATCAGCCCAAAATACACGATGCCTGAAAATTCTTCATGCAGTTATAAATTTATTGGCTCGTCTAGTCATGACAGAGTTTGGATTTATTTTGTTTCATATTTGTCAAAAAGTGTGCCTAAAACTTTAATTGTTGATGAGGATGCAGATACATGTTTCTCTAGCAGGTTGGAGATATACGATAGCCATGATCGTTGGCCTATGTTAGATTTCAATGATGGCTTTGACTCGTATCCCATGCAGTTTTGTGGGGAAGATAACATTCCAAAAATGTGCTCACATGCAGCAGATTTTCCACCCCACTATAACCCCGGACGTCCATGCAGAGTTCCAAGTGAAAGTTATTTATCATCAGGGCCCACTTACGCACTTAAGCATTCTTTTTATTCCATGCTGGATGCAATTGATTTGTTTAAATATAGCCATTTTGTCGCCCGTTATGAATTCGTAGACACAAGGCAAGATGGTATTGCCATTGGAAGGACAGAATGCGATCGGAGGTTCGACAGTCGTACAGCTAAAGGAGGATTTATATCGAATTCAAAGAATGTTTTCTTATATGGAAGGGGTGGTCGAGAAAATATATCATGTGCATTCCATTTTGTAGGTCTACCCACAGAAAGAGTCCGCATCACAATATTTAACTTAAAGCTATCGGTAAGTGATTCGGAAAATATGTGCGAGACTAACTATAACAGTTTAACGCAGAGATATCAGTGCATATCTCCACCTAGAGTGGCAAAGAATAGAATAGCTTCATTGAGCGCTATTGAGTTTTGGGAAAGTCACTCTTCAACTATCGGCTGTGTATGCAATACTACTTCAGTTGATCGAAGTAAAAAATTCATATTCGATTCTCTGGTTAGCAATGTAAAACTGATTTTCTCTGTAAATTATATGACTTCCTTAGAGGATTTCAACGATTTCAATTTCGAGGCTAAGTTTGAGTTCTTTAATTCAACATTTTGTGAGACTCACGTTTTCGATGAGCACCAAGGAATAAGCCCAGAAGGATCTATAGAGTTTCACATTCCACAAGGAAGAACAAACTTTACGAGTGGGGACGACTTTTACCACCCTCTTCGCTGCCGTTGGCAAGTGAAGTCGTTCACTGAAAAATACTTGTATCTTCAATTCAGCGGATTTGAAATCCCCACAGATAATTGCAGAGAAGGTATGGTCGTGCTGGTTTTCTTAGAATCCCATTTATCTAATCCAACTGCAACTGCCTGCGTGACATCAGAAGCCCATCACCCAAAAAACAAAATCAAGGAGTTCCACCTGTTTTCTCAGTCTTGGTATAATGAAACATACAGCATTACAGACAATAACAGGGATTATATATTCATTGAGATAGTTTCCAATCATAACTGGAAAGGTATAAGACTACACTTCCATTGGATGGAAGTAACGAAACCTTTTTACCGTAGTTTATCTGGACGACCATTGAGAAATATCGATTGCATTTTTGAATGTCCAGAAATCGGAGCTTGCATTGACCCCCACCTGTGGTGTGATGGCGTAGGACACTGTCCATCTGGGTTCGATGAGTCTCCAGCAAACTGCCATCCTCTGGCTAAGAGCATGGAATACTTATCGTTAATAGTAGTGGTTGGAGCTTTATTATTATTAATTTTGGGTTTTTTGGTTGCTTGGGCATTGATAAGACATCGGCATTCGCAACCTTCGTGTTCAGATGAGGATGAGGATCGAACTAAAAACTGTAATCATCGTTGCTTGACGCCTGTAGATGATTATCAAATGGACAGCCCCTTGCACTGATTTTTTCCACCAAATTTTTTTATGGAAAAAAATGACTTTTTATGTGTTTTAATAATAAATTGTTTATATGTCTTATAGAAATAAAGATTTTATTTCTACTATTTCCAAGATAAAGTCATTTATTTTCTACGTAACAAAAAAACGGTCAAAGATGTCATCAACTTTAAGAAATAGTTTATCTCTTTCACAAAACAGTCTCAACTTTAGTTATAATGTAATTTTCATTTTTTAAGCAATTAAATTTATTGTACTTAAATTAACGAAAAACAGTCAAAGATGTCATCTACTTTGAGAAATAGTTTATATCTTTAACAAAATAGTCTCAACTTTAATTACAGTATAATTTTCATTTCTTAAACAATTAAATTTATTGTTCTTAAATTAACAAAATACAATCAAAGATGTCATTTACTTTGAGAAATAGTTTATCTCTTTAACAAAATAGTCTCAACTTTAATTATAATATAATTTTCATTCTTAAAACAATCAAATTTATTATACTTAACATGACATTTAATTAAAATAAATCATTTGATTGAATTTTAAAATTTTCTACTCCTATCAGTTTTGAAACATTTGTGTCAAATTTATTATATTGCCTATTACCCACATAAAATTAACTCTATAACTTAAATCCTTTTATATTTTTTTCACTTTTTCCAGATTTTATTTCCAGTTTTTTAATAATTTTAAAATTTTTGCACGGAACAAATAATATTTTCAGATTAATGCAATTCATTTCGAAAAAAATTAATTTTGTGTGCAGAAATATCCATCAATTGTATAAAATATTTTCAAATGTATGAAATTCGTTGTCATTAGCAGTTATTTCAGCATTAATTTGCTTTGAATTTGAAAAATAATTATAGTAATTTCGAGGAAACAACATTTTAGAAACAAAAACATAGATTTAAATTTAGCAGAATACAGGAAGTTACATAATCAAATATATATTTCTCTTTTAAGACAATAGATATTGAAATTATATTTTGAAGAATTGAAACTTAAAAATGCTTCGTATGTTAATTTTTATAAAAATATCGAAATAAATCTTCGATATATTTTTATGTATTTGTAATTTTCTTTAACTATGATGCATATAATATCATTTAAAACCTTTATTTCATATATACTTTTTTAAAATTTTTTTTACAAGGAATAAAATAGGTTTTACAGTAATCCTGTTATTTCAAATCGCAGATAATTTTAATTTGTACCCAATAAGTAAAAATTTAAAGCATGATTCTGAAATATGTTCTAATCAAAAGTTTAGAAAAACTTAAATCATTGTGGTGAAAAATTTGCTGCACATATATTTTCAGTTTCAAAAAACATAAAAGACATAATTCTGGATAAAAAAATAAAAAATATGTATCTAAGTCTATACATCTTAAAATTTAAATTTAGCAAATAACATGAAGAGGTATTAATATTGAAGAAGCCCGTAAAAAAAGAAGGAAGTGCAAATTTTAATCTTTATTTTATCATGTAACAAATACGAAAATTTTTCAAAAAAATAGATCTTACAAAATACAATGTTTATAACTCTTTTTTTCAAAATTATCCATAACTTGAGGTACTTCTAAATTAAAAAAAATCATCAAAATTTGATTCTGTTTTGATTTTTTGAATGCAGTTTTCGTTGCACTTAGGATTTGTTTTCTTAAAATTTTTTTTTTATACAAAATGATGGTGTTGGTGGTTGTTGATGATGGTTTTTATACAAAATGATATAAAACAAAATATAAAATACTTGATTTAGCCTTATTCGGGTGGGAAGATTTTAAATTTAAAATCAACTTTGCTCCTGGAGCTACAAATTGTTTTTTAAAATGACATTATCAGTCTACTCTTTGTTTACCTGCATACAAGTTTAAAAATGTATAACAGAGGTTCCAGTAAATGTTGCGACAGATTTCAAAGGGAGTTATGGCTCGTAATAATGTTTTAAATTGCATAGGAACCCATGCCCGATATTGTCACTTACGTGACTAATGGCACTTCCCTATTATGACTTGTTCAGAAGCACACGAAGAAATAGTTCATAAAAAATAAGTGACCTACATCGTGTGACGACATTTCTGATTTGTTCCTGTACAGTTTTAAAGTTTTAATTCTTATTTCGTTAATTAACCACCTCGACCCCCCCCCCCCCC